CAGGGTGGGTCAAGAGGCAGAAGAAAGAGGAAGAAGTGTGGGCACAAGTCTTTACTGTGGTCTCTTTAGGAAAGATAAGGTAGGGCATGTTAAATAGTTTAGAATTAGCAAGTTTGAATGATTGATGGAGGCTCTGGACTATAGGAGTGGTTCCTAGTTCCACAGTAACTGGTCCTGGAGTGCTTTAGGACAGTGGGAATATTGGCTCGGTGGAGGAGAGCTTGATAAAGGAGGTGGCTGAGGGCAAAGGCTCTGGAATAGTTGGTTGGTATATCAAAGCGCGCTCATAGGCAAGTTGTTTGCTATCTCTAGGAATTAGTTACCCTGGGAGGAGCAGTCCCTCCTGAGTTTGCAAGGTCCCAGATGTCAAAATTTCATACTGTATAGAAAATAAAAACTATGGCTAGTACATTTGGGTTGGTGTTCCTGAATTCCAAGGACTGCTAACTGCTTTCCTAAGGCTTTCTTCCATAAATTAAACCTCTTCCCTCCTTCAGAGGTAGCTAATGTCTAGCTTTCAAAGGGGAGGACATTTCTGGCCCTAATTATTGAACTTAGGAGCAATCCAAATATTCCATTCTATAGGTGATTGCCTAGATATTCCAGATATTCTAGAAGAATATACTCATCTATCTCCTCCCCTTACTTGAAGACCTTCTCTTCTAGGCTCATTAATAAACTTTAAATATTTTCTGATAGCAGAGATGTTATACTGATGCTTAAATTGGGAGAAAAGTGGAGACTTGTAATGAGCATTATAGTTACTTTGTGCCTTGTTTTTCTTTTTTTTTATCCTCACCCAAGGACATGCTTAGAGAGAGAGAGAGGAAAAGGGAGAGAGAGAGACAGAGACAGAGACAGAGACAGAGACAGAGAGACACAGAGAGAAACATCAATCAGATGCCTTCCATGCATATCCCAACTGGGAATTGAACCCATGACCCAGTTATGTGCCCTGACTGGGAATTGAACTGTAACTTTTTGGTGCACAGGACCACACTAAACCAACTGAGACACTTTGGCCAGGCACTCTGTACCTCTTCTGTGACCCCTACTCTGTGTCCCCCTCTCCCCATTGCAACACTCAGGAGATCTCAGAAAGAAGATTCATCCACAATTGCCAGCCAAGTTTGTGAAAAATATTTTTAATTTGTCAGAGATTTATTCCTCCAAAATTTAATCTTTTATGATACAAGTTGGGTAGAAAACAGCCCAAGACAAAATGTTCATGGGAATGTTTTATTGGAGAGTGCAATCCCAGGACAGCAATGATGGGGGAAGGAGCGTGAGGCAGAGAGAGAGGGTGTATCATTGCTGCACTGGCCACAGCCTCCAGCGAAAACACAGCTGGTACTTTGGTCACACAGGATGTCTCCAGACCGGCTCTCTGGAACACTGTACCTTGACGCAGTGCATTGTGGGAAAGAAAGAAAACGAAATGGATTTATCTGTTGGTTTCTTCCTGCCTTGTGACTCTTTTTTTTTTTCCCTCACCCGAGGATATTTTTCCATTTTTTGTACAGATAGAGTGGGAGGGAGAGAGAGGAAGGGAGAGAGAGAGAGAGAAACATCGACATGAAGGGACACATCGAGTGGCTGCCACCCGCACGACCAACCAGGGCCGGGGACAAACTGTAACCGAAGTACTTGCCCTTAGTGGGAACTGAACCCGGTCTCTCCGGACCGCAGGCCGACGCTCTAACCGCTGAGCCAAACTGGCCAGGGCTGCCTTGTGACTCTTACTGGTCAAAGTTGTCCCATTTCTGTTTTGTTACTTGGCCTCTTTGGACAGCTGATGGGAAATCCATATCCCATGCTGTACAGACCATCCACAGGTCTGTAAGGTTGGATTTGGCATAGGAGCTGCTGCAGCTGCTGCCATGCTGGGCCTGATGGAGGCCATGGAAGCCTCTGGCCTTTCCCTTGGAAGAGGAGACCTTCCGAAGTGTTAGGAAGAGAGACAGTGGTGACAGCAGCCAGGGCTTTCTACTGAGCAAGTGGCAAGAGGCAACTAGCTAACGTGAGGATATACATATATTGGATCTGATATAGATAGTAATGGGTGAGGAGTAAGTAAATCAGAGACTGGGAATGTTTGTGAATACAAACTAAAGTGATTATAGAAATAGAAAGTTCCAGAAGGATATGTCTGGAATATGGGTTTATAGAGCATGGGAGACAGAGGCCTCTTTCAACACAGGAGGAAGGCGACTGGAAACCTGGTCCCAGTTTCGTTTTTCCTTAGCTATGGCATAGTCTTGCATTACTCTCTTCATCTCTGAGTCTCTGTTGTTTTATTTAAAAAATGGGAGAGATTCAAAGCTGACTTCTAAAAAAAAATTCTAAAGATATAACTTTCAGAGAGACAATTTTGTAGAAGTAATTTACATGTATTAGTCTTTTCAAATCTTACTGTTTTTTATATATAATCCTGTGTAAATCAATTAACATATTCCTCTGGGCTTCATCAAAGCACAAGCTCTGATCTCCAATTACCTTGTTTGTAGTACTGATGTCAACACTGACCAGCTATGTGACCTTGGGCACGTTACTTGACCTCCTTGATTCTTGTTCCTTATCCATCTAGTGGGACTGCTGTGAGCAAATGCACATGAAATGTCTGACATAGTGTCCATGTGGATGTTCTTTAGTATTTTCTTAATTGTAAAAAGAGGTGGGTAGACCCATCAATCGCTAGCACCCATTTCAGCTTTAACATTCCACGATTCCAGACTCTGAGTCATTACTTATTACAAATGCTTAGTGAGCATCTATTACATGCGTAGTCCTGTGCTACCTTGACCTCAGGAAGCACACAAACTGGTTGAGACAGTCACATAGAATTAGAAACCATACACTATTGTGATAATAAAAGTATAATAGATCTTACTTAGAGTTCTAAGATTGATGATTTATCAAGCACATCATTCTGGGAAAAGGCACGTTGTCAGTGTTGGAAGATATACTTATGACAAGTCCTTACAGTTCTTTAAAAGTATTCTGTAGCTGCCCATTAGTACGTGTTCATCTGACAACTAATGGAATACTGTTGGAAGTAGTGTCCACATAGGGTTTTATTCTAAAATCTGCAGCATAGTAAATTATATATTATTGCTCAGTCTAGCTGCTCTTTATAAAGATATCATATTTCTAATGGAAAAATTAACATTAAAATTAATATTCAACTTGTGACTTGAATTGAAATGAAAATGCTTAAATGGAAATGCTTTCTGTTGCCATAAAAGTTACCATGATTGTTTTAAAACTCAGTGCAAAATACTCCACATGAGAAATAGAGGACAGTATTTTACTCATCAATAGCAAAAACTCTCCAACCATTTAGGGAGCAACATTAAATGCAGGACTCAAGAATCTGTTTTAGTTTGAATTTTGAAGATAGAGAAAAAAAGTAAGTAACTTCAAAAGTGAGTTTGGATTAGAAAAAAGTTTATTTTTAACAAATAATGCTCAGCAAAATGGAAAAATCTGTAGTATTATTAAGCATGTAATAAAACATAAAGAAAAGTAATTTAAGAAGGCTTAAGGCAGGACTCCCAGATGTTTATTTTAGGATGTTCAGGAAGATGCTACTGGAGGAGCAATGTGTTGATGCTGAGCTTTGATTTAGAACAGGCTGCTTTAGCTCCTTAATCTGCCACTTACTGTTTTGGGTTATCTTGGCCAAGGGTCCTACTTTCTCCGTGATTTGGTTATCTATAAAATTGAGAAACTTAAAATTACTTCAAATTTATTATGATTGTTATTTGTTCATAGTATTAGCAAATGTTTAAATGCACATAATTTAAAGAGGTAAGAGAGAAATAATTTTACAAAACTTGTTTGAAAACAGCATTCCTCCCCCCACCGTGTTCCCACTTTCAGAGGAAAATATTTCCAAATTGTAGAGGTTTATTTATTATTATTACTTTTTAGCATTTTCCTCTGTATCTCTAAGTTATATGCTTAAATGGCTAGTTTTAAAAATTATAGTAAAATATACACATATAATAGAAGATTTACTATTTAAATATTTTAAGTGTACAGTTTAGTGGAATTAAGTATATTCACATTACTGTGCAATCATTACCACTATTCACCTCCAGAACTTTTTCATCATCCCAAACTGAAACTCTGTACCCATTAAACAACAGCTGCCTATTACCCCCTCCCTCCAGGCTTTGTTACCCTCTACTCTGCTTTCTGTCTCCATGAGTTTGAAGACCCTAGTTACTCATATAAGTGGAATCGTACAATATTTGTCCTTTTGTGACTGGCTTATTTCACTTGGGATCATGTCCTCATGGTTCATCCGTGTTGTAGTATGTGTTAGAATTTCCTTTCTTTTTAAGGCTGAATAATATAACCCTGTGTGTGTATACAACATTTTGTCTGTCTATCCATCCATCAGTAAACATTTGGGTTGCTTCCACCTTTGGCTATTGTGAATAAAGCTGCTGTGAATACGGATGTAAAAAATCTCTGTTCGAATCCTGCTTTCAATTCTTGTCAGCATCCCGAGAGTTAGAATTACTGAATCATATGGTAACTCTATGTTTAATTTTTTGAGGAACTGCCAGATCATGTTCCACAGTGGCTACACCATTTTACATTCCTGCCAGCAGCGCACAAGGGTTTCATTTCTCTACATCCTCACTAGTGCTCATTTCCTTTTAATTTATTTTTTGTTAATCCTCACCTGAGGATATTTTTCCAATTGATTTTCTTAGATTGATGGAAGGGAGAGAGGGAGAGAGAAACATCAATGTGAGAGAGACACATTGATTGGTTTACCCCCAGTGGGGCTGGGATGGAACCTGCAACCCAGGTAGATGCCCTTGACTGGGAATCAAACCTGTGACCCTTTGGTCTGTGGGCTAATGCTTTAACCACTGAGCCAAACCAGCCAGGGCCTTCTTCTTTCTTCCTTCTTCCTTTTTTCTTCTTCCTTCTTCCTTCTTTGTTCTCCTCCTCCTCCTCTTCCTCATTCTCCTCCTCCTCCTTTTAATATGGAAGGCTTCATGAATTTGTGTAGCACCCTTGTGAGGGGCCATGCTGATCTTCTATCATTCCATTTTAATATAGGTTGTCCCAAAAATGTATACACAACTTTGAATAATTATAAAGCCAGTGTTTATTAAAATACATATCAATTTCAAAATGTAATAGATTCTACAGGCACCCTGCTGATGTAAGCATTCTGTGTTGTTGTTTTTTCTACTTTCTGGATGATTTTTAAAATTTTATCTTCCAACTCTTCTATTGAGTTTTAATTTCTGCTATTATACATGTAATTTTCAAAGATTGCTTTTTAAAAAGACTTTATTTTTTTAGAGCACTTTTAGGTTTACAACAAAATTGAGAGGGAGATACAGAGATTTCCCATAACTCCCTATTTTCATAGATGCATAGCCTCTCTCATGATCAACACCACTTACCACAATGTTTTTTTTTTGTTTGTTTGTTTGTTTGTTTGTTTTTTTAATCAAGGATGACCTTACACTGACACATCATAATCACTCAGTCAATAGTTTATTTGAGGGTTCACTCTTGGTGTTGTACATTCTATGGGTTTGAACAAATGTATAATGACATAGATCCATCATTATAATATCATATGAAGTATTTTCACTGCCCTAAAAATTTTCTGTGCTCTGCCTATTCACCCCCCCTTTCCCTGGAAACCATGAACTGAACAGACACTTCTCCCAAGAAGACATGGAAATGGTCAACAAATATATGAAAAGATGCTCAACTTCACTAACTATTAGACTAATGCAAGTCAAAACTATGAGATACCACCTCACACCTGTTAGAATGGCTATTATCAACAAGACAGGTAATAACAAGTGTTGGAAAGATTGTGGAGAAAAAGGAACCCTTGTTCACCACTGGTGGGAATGTAAACTGGGACAGCCACTATGGAAAACAGTATGGAGGCTCCTCTATGACAGCGGGCAAAGGGGATAAATAGAGAAATAAAGAGACTTTGCTTTGGGTGCTGCAGTGTGCAGATGATGTTTGATTGAGTTGTACACTTGAAAGTTGTATGATTTTGTGAACCAATGTCACCCCAATAAATTCAATAAAGAAATGGAATTCCATTCACTGGAACTTTCACAAATAAATAACAGAAGTCATTCAAGGTGATGGAAAGTCCTGGGATTGGAATAGTGAATCATTACAATGAGATAATGGCAGTTATTTGATAAATCCATTGCTTTTTAAATAGGTTATTCTCAAGAAAAACAGAATCAATACAGGATAAATTATTTACTAAAGAGCAATGAAGCAATAATATGAGGGTACAGCTTCTCACCAGTTCTGTGTATATGAAACACCTAACAATCATTTTAAGCCAAAAAGACTTTTTCTCAACTAAGTTCATTTTAATCATTTATGTAATCACAGAATAGTCTCTAATTCTTATTTGTGAACATCACAACAATTAACTGAAAAATATGATTAGTAAAACAAGAAGAAAAAAGGTATAGAGTTACCATATGATCCAGCAACCCCACTTCTGGGTATCCAAAAAAATAGAAAACATTTATTTGCAAAGATATAGGCACCCCTGTGTTCATTGCAGCATTATTCATTGTGACCAAGATATGGAAACAACTGAAGTGTTCTTTAATAGGTGATTGGATAAAGAGGATGTGGTACATATATACTATGGAACACTACTCAGCCATAAGAAAAGATGAAATACTGCTAATTGCGACAACACGAGTGGATCTTGAGAATGTAACGCAAGCAAAATAAGTCAGAAAAAGTTAAGAACCATATGATTTCACTCACACATGGGATATAAAACTGAAAGCAACAAATGAACAAATAAGAAAAAAAAAGAAAACTCATAGACACAGACAACAGTATAGTAGTTACCAGAGGAAAGGGGAACGAGGGGGCAGTAAAGGGTAAAGGGGATCATATATATGATGACAGAAGATTTGACTTTGGGTGGTGGGCACACAATGCAATATGCAGATGATACACCATAGAATTATACACTTGAAACCTATATAATCTTATTAGCCAATGTTACCCCTATAAATTGAATAAAAAAATTTTAATGTTTTAAAACATATGTTTCTCCAACATATAATAAGTAAAAGAATGTATCATTTAAAATGTTATATTTGGTCAAGATACTTTCATGCCTATTATATAATTATAGTAATTACATGTATAATGTTCAGATAAGAAAACTGAGGCATGAAAATCAGTTAAATAACCTTCTTAAGTATACTCAGCTAATGAGGATCTTTTTGGGTCTAGAAAAATCACAGTTTTCTTCTTCATCTATCTTTACCTAGTGGTGATAAGGTGTCCACTCTCTGGAGAGGAGTCCAGTTTGGGAAGATTTTTGAGCTGAACTGTTCCCATTTGTAACTACTATTTCCTGAGCATCTATTAAGTGCCTGGCTACATGCACATGTTTTACATGCCTTGTCTCATTAATCTTTATAATGATTCTCTTTCCTGACAGATAGGAAACTGAGACCTGCAGAGGTTAAGTAACTTGCCTAAGTGCACATGACGTATAACTGCAGGAATTAGGTTGGGAAACCAGGTCTCTGAGTAGAAAGCTCAGGTTCTTTCTGCATGCAGCTTCCTTTTGGGCACAGATTAACAGCTTAGTCTAGTGGTAAAATGGGCAATTACAATGATGTGGCAAGGTCTGTGGTGGGGTTACAGTGTGGTGTTATGAGAGCCTGTGGGAGGGGAATCTGGGAAACTCCCTGGAGGAAATAATCTAATCAGAGACCTGGTGGAACAGGAGGACCTCTCCAGGGAAGAAAGGGCCAAAGAGCATTTCAGGCCTAGTGATCAAAGAGACATTCCTGTCCATTGGGGAAACCAAAGTAATTTAACAAGTGCCACTGGGAAGGAGGCATGTGACAGGAAAGGTGGGAAAGGTAACAGGAGATGAGGCTAAAGAAGAAAGTGTGGGGAGGGAGGTCAATTAGAAAGATAAAATCGAATGAGGGAATCGGGAGTTTATTCTCAGGCCAATGCGGAACCATTTAAGTTGTTGTTGTTGTTTTAGCAGTTTAAAGGTTCAAGATATAAGGTGTTTTTTAAAAATATTTAGAAGTATGCAAAAATGTGCATTTTATAAAGATCATTCTGGTAGCTCAGGAAGAATGGATTTGAGAGGGACTGAAGTAGGGGAGGAGTCAAGAATGATTTTCAGATCTCTGTCTTGGGCAAGTGGACAACGTGGTACCAATCACTGAGATAGAGAACAGCCTCAGAAAAAAGTCTATTGCAGAATCTAGGAGAGTGCGCTGATTAATTAGAGCTGATTTTGCACAAGAAAGTCAGTGTATGTTTAGAACTAACTGGATAGACCTTTGTTCATGATCATTATCTATATTAGTTTTAGACTCAGCTTAAATCTTAAGAAATTTGGGTATTCTTGTACTCATCACTGTACTCTTCCCCCAGTTAAAAAAAAAGTTTGATTGTGGACATGGCTCTTTAAAAAATAAATTAAATTATACAAGCAACAGTGGCTTTCATTGATTTACTATTTTAGATAAGTTTCCATATAGAAAGGAAATACTAATATGAGATTAATTTTAAACTATGTATTTAGCAGATTTGCAACTTTTCTAGGTACTGATAATTACTAAAATTATATGAAACCAGAGGATTAGTGAAATTACACAATTCAATTTTTCAAAATGGATGTGGCTGTATGATAAGGCAAATGTTGCCTAATGTGATATATTTATTCATTTATTCCTTCCTCTAATATTTATGATCTTTAGAAAATGTTACTGTTGGTTGTTCTGGGCATTCTGTATAATATACAATGTTAAAAATAATAAAATTATACAGCTGGAAAAAAGTTGTGATAATTTAATTCTCTCATTGTACAGTTGAGAAAACTGGGCATCAGAAAGTCTCTTCTAAAATACTAAATCACTACTTTGTCCTTGGACACTGCATACTATTTCATGAAAAAACAAAAACAAAAACAAAACTGGTAACTTTAATCTTCATGTTCTTTTAATGTAATAAAAAGTAGAAAATAATACAGTTTGTGGTGAGGACTTAAATTTTCTCTTAAATACATCATTGAGTCTTAATGATTATTTTTAGGTGGAATGAAACTTCTCCTCAGTTGCTTTGGGAAACAATAACATGGATTAACTTCACATTAAGAGTGCTAATAGCATATGTGTATATAGAATACTGAAATATAAATCAATTTAAAAAGGCCATAGTGTACAAAAGAAACTTCTACCATTAAAGCTTCGAGTGTTTGCAAAATATCCATCATTTGCATAACCACAATTCCTACACTTTCTAATAATCAAGTTTCATATTGAGAGTTGATAAAATATAAAGCTTTTAGGAGCTATGTATTTCATATACACTTAACGACATTATACATTCTAAACACTCGATACTACTGTTTTGGCAAAAGAAGAGAACACACTTTTATATTTTATCAAGGAAAAAATTAAGTAGGTGAAAAAGTTTGCTCCTTTGTCAAAGATCAGTAGACTGTTCTATGGATTTTCATGGGTAGGACCATGAAGGCAAACAAATAATCTTGCCTGATAAAACACACTGTTTCTAACATGTTCAGGGATTAATCTGCCACAAATTAAATATTTCGTTCTTTACTATTGGGGATAATGAAACAATGTAGAAAGTCCTTAATAAAGGCAATGCAGTATTTAATGTGTCAGAAGCATCATATATAGTATAGGCTAGAGTCTGTGTGTGACATAACAGGAAATAGATATGTTGGTCTCTGCCCTTGGTTCCTGACACAGGGCTCCTAAAATCCTTATAAATTCCTAAGAGATAAGGGTACTAGAAGCATCTTTTGTTCTATTGAGGGGACTCTTAGTTGAGTCCTAGATGGCTCCTGGTCACCAGAAAGACCAAACCATAATTAGAAGCTTGGATTTTTTTTTTTTTTTTTCAGGCTCCGGGTGCTCACTTCTCCAGAGAGCAGGGAGGGGCTGGAAATGGAGTTAATAATTGTTCATGCCTATGCGAGGAAGCTTCCATAAAATTCCAATAGCACCGGGGTTCGAAGAGCTCCCAGTTGGATTCAGCTGATGTCCCAGAGAATTGCTTGG